TAGATGGATGGCCCCGCGGGCCCTGGGCGGCGAGGTGGGCCGAGCGCGCCTCGCGCGAGATCCGAGGCGAGGGCCGCGAACCACCCGTCAGCAACAACGCGCTGCGCGCTCGAGGCGACGAGTAGGCCAAGAAGCCCCAGGGCGCCAGCTACAACCGCTCTGCCAAGGCCGAGGCCGAGAGCCAGGATCAAGGCCCCGCCGCCGGAGGACCCGGCCGCGCCAGTGCCCGAGCGTAGGACTTTCGAGGAGGCTCTCGCGGGGCAGCCCCGGCGCGCTCCAAATGAGTGCCCTGCAAGGACAGCTCCAAAGGGTGCCGAGCCTGACTGGGCAAGTCATTCGAGATTGTTCGCGAGAAAGGTTTCCTGGCGAGGGCCGGTGACCTACGAAGCGCGGGCCAGGTTTAGGATTTCAATTGCACGCGGCCAGGATCCCTAATGCACGGGCAATGGGTTTCGAACTCATCGTCATCAGCATCACCAGCAGCATCGCCATCATCAGTATCATCATCTTCCTGCCAGGAAAACGTTACTATTCCCCCCTGGGCCCCGAACCGTGTTAATTCCGGGCGGTTTTTATCAGGGGCGTAGGGTCAGCGCCGCTGGACTTGACGGATCGAAGAATTCAGCCGTGAACCGGTCGGGGTTGAACGATCGACGGGGTGTCGAAAACTCTTGCGCGCGCCGACGCCGCGCGAACCTGTCGCAGAGTCTAGGACATGTTCGGTATCTGGGAAGTCCTCCTGGAGACAGCGCCGATATGCGCGTGCCCACCCCAACCCCCTCTCAAGAGCACAGGCGGCCGCCCCTGTCGCGCGCAGCGTGCCAGGTTCGGCCTGCGCTTTAGGCGCCTCCAGGAAGTTCCATCGCCGGCCCAAAGGAACTCTTGGCTTCCTGGGCGCGGTCCGAGTTGACAGGGTCGGAGGATCGCGCCGCAGCGTCGATGCATCAGCGATGCGGCGTGATGTGGAGCCCGGCTTTCTTCGCGCTGACGGCGCCAATGCATCGCCGACGTCGCCGGTGCACTGATGCATCGGCGATTCGGCGCGATCCTCCGACCCCATCCAGGCTGCCTTTACTCATGTTTCTGCAGTTTTTGTTCATGTTTTTTGGGGGGCAGCGGGGCCAGGCCTGGCCGGCCGTCAGAACGCCCGCCTCCAGCCGACGCGCTCTCTCGGCGATGCGCCCCGAGCGGAATTGCGGGTCCGCCTGTTCGCATTTTAGCAGATATGGCTCGAAGCGACGCGGAGGAGGAGGACGAGGAGGAAGAGGAGGAGGAGAGCGAAAGGGATGATGAGGAGGAGGAAGAGCCGGATGATGATGATGATGATGATGATGATGATGATGATGATGATGATGATGATGATGATGATGATGATGATGATGATGAGGATGAGGATGAGGATGAGGATGAGGATGAGGATGAGGATGAGGATGAGGATGAGGATGAGGATGAGGATGAGGATGAGGATGAGGATGAGGATGAGGATGAGGATGAGGATGAGGATGAGGATGAGGATGAGGATGAGGATGAGGATGAGGATGAGGATGAGGATGAGGATGAGGATGAGGATGAGGATGAGGATGAGGATGAGGATGAGGATGAGGATGAGTGAGGATGAGATGAGGATGAGGATGAGGATGTGAGGATGAGGATGATGAGGATGAGGATGAGGATGAGGATGAGGATGAGGATGAGGATGAGGATGAGGATGAGGATGAGGATGAGGATGATGATGAGGATGAGGATGAGGATGAGGATGAGGATGAGGATGAGGATGAGGATGAGGGATGAGGATGAGGATGAGGATGAGGATGAGGATGATGATGAGGATGATGATGATGATGAGGATGATGATGATGATGATGATGATGATGATGATGATGATGATGATGATGATGATGATGATGCTGATGATGATGAGATGAGGATGAGGATGATGATGATGATGGATCTGATGATGAGATGGAGGATGGATGAGAGGATGATGATGGGAGATGGAGGAGGATGGAGGAAGAGGAGTCATGGGTAGGGTCCTTTCCCTCCTGTTTCCCTCGCCTTCTATGGTCCTTTACTTCCTTACTGCTTACTGCGTACCCCACAAGCCAGCGATTCTTGGAACGGTGATTTAGGGATCTCCTGGCTTCACTTTGATCAGCCCCGTCAAGGCCGACTGGCCCTGGGGGAGGGAGGACCGCGCTCTACAAGTCTTGCGCCATCAGTCCACAGTCCACAGGAGCAAGACGACAAGGAGGACGAGGAGGAGGAGGAGGAGAAGGAAAAGGAGGAGGAGGAGGAGGACGGGAGGGAGGAGGAGGAGGAAGAGGAGGAGGAGGAGGAGGAGGAGGAGGAGCACGAGGAGGAGCAAGAGGAAGAAAAAGGAGGAGGAGGAAGAGGAGGAGGAAGAAGAGGAGGAGGAGGAGGAAGAGGAGGAGGAGGAGGTGGAGCATCTCTAAGAGTTTGCGTTTAGAGGTCCCCGGCGGACTTTGGCACGAGGGGAAGGTCGGTTCCCGAGGAAATCGGGCCCTGGGCCTCAGGGGGCTCCCCCAGTACCAGTCTTCCCGCGTCGTGTTCTTCCGGCCCCACAGTCTAGGCAGGGGCCCGAGAGGCCGAGCATCGCCAGGCACCAGTGCTTGTCTTACCTCCAGACCGCTCTTCCTCGTGCTGAAGACTGCCGCCGCCCAGGCTGCCCAGAGCCTCCCCCTGCCGGCGACTCGAGTCAGAAACAGCTGGGCGACGAAGAGGAGCGGCATCAGGCTCTGCGCGGACGCTCCTCCTGGTCAGGCCAGAGCGGTGTGTGTATACATATTTATATATCTCTATATATATATATATATGCATATACATAAAGTATATATACACATATATTGTGTAAATGTATCCTCTATATTAACATCTAGAACCAGCACGTCATGCAACAAAACACATAAATCCGAGGTTGGGGGGTGAGACCGAAGTGGACCGGAGAGCCCCCCGTGCGTGCGTGTCGTGCTCGTGCTCGTGCGTGCCGCGCGTGCGGGCGAGGCGAAGCTGCGTAGGGCGGGCGAGAGGAAGGTCTCCTGTGGCTGAGGCGCGGCCGGACCTAATGATTCTCCCTCCTGCAGGCGGTGGCGCGCGGTGTCCCGCCGGTGTCCCGCTTGAGGCTGGGCCCCGGCCGGACCCCTCCGGCAAGCGGTGGCGCGCGGTGTCCCGCCGGTGTCCCGCCGGTCGCCGGTGTCCCGCTTGAGGCTGGGCCCCGGCCGGACCCCTCCGGCAAGCGGTGGCGCGCGGTGTCCCGCCGGTGTCCCGCCGGTGTCCCGGTGTCCCGCTGGTGCGAAAACGATAGTGAGACCGATGACGAAGTCGATTGTGAGATCGATAGTGAGATCGATGGTGAGATCGAGAGTGAGGTCGATCGTGAGATCGATAGTGAGATCGATAGTGAGATTAACAGTGATATCGATTGTGAGATCGAGTGATATCGATAGGGAGATCGTTCGTGGCAGCGCAACAGTCACCACTGTTGCCCACTGCTGGCCCCCCTCCCCCCAACCTCCTTATCACCCGCAGGGTGGTCGTACAGTCGGGGCACTGAGGAAGGAACCCTTTTCGTTGGGGAGGGGCTCGGTGTTCCTTAGTTATTTTTCAGTTCGCCTTTGATTTTGCTTAGGGCTTCTATGGGAAATCGAAGTTAACCTCATGGGAAAAAGAGGCCTCGTTCCTTATTTAGGGTTCCTTAGGTCAACGCCCCTTCTGTATAGGTAGATGCCTATGACATGCAGATCTGTAGATGCAAATCTGTGTACACACCGCTCCCGGGCCCAGGGCGGGCCTGGCCGGGGGGCAGTGGATCCGTGCAGATCTCGTCGCCCCAGATCGTGTCGGCCGAGGGTCCGAAGCGGGGCTCCCAACTATACCCACAGAGCCACCGGCTGGGGGATCGCTCTTCGCGGACCTCCACAGGCGGTGGACATGATTATCGTCGGGCCCCTGGGCGGATGTGGATATTGTTTGGCCCGTAGGGGCCAACACATGTCTCGGCATCGCTCGGACGTGTGCATTTTTTTCCCGGCGAGGACCATCGAGGAGCATCCTTGATCATTTGGCGAAAAAACATCGCACGAAGCCGAACAAAAACACAGGGAATGGACGTCCGAGCGATGGCCAGATGTCCGCATCCGCCGCCCGCTGTGGCACACCAGGACGTGGGTGCCCAGGTGCTGGATGATGGATAAATCACCGCCTCGCAGAAGGGGTGGGGGAATGGGAGAGGGCGGGGGGAACACGGAGTCTGCTGCATGGCAGGTGACCCGCAGGGCCGCGGACGTGGCCGCGGGAAGGTAGCCGCGCGCGTTCTTGCAGCTGCGCGGCGCGGCGGCGCTTTTTCGCGCAGCGTGCTGCGCGACGCGACGGGCGGGCGCGGGCGATGCACGATCGGAGAAGCCCTTTGGTGGCCGCCCCGGTGCCCCCCCCCCCCAGAGCGTTGACGCGATCGCTCGAGATCGAGTGGCTCGCGCGGGTGCGTCGCGTGGGCCGTGGTGTCCTGCCAGCGCGCGTGCCTTCGCTGCCAGTGTCCCCGGAGGCTGCCCGGGCCTTTCGCGCCTAACCTCGCGGGTCGCGCCCGGCGAGGCGCGGCTCGTGGTCACCTCCGCGTGGCCGCCTCATCGGCTCAAGATGCCAGCGGTTCATCTTCGTTCTCATCGCCGCCCCTCGAAGGCAAGAAGCACTTTGCATGAGACTCAACGTTCGTGGGTCCTCGCGGATTGTATGGGTCGGCGTTGTTCCCCCCGCCTCCTCTGGGAGGTGCCTTTGGTGCCACCCCTCCCCTGGCCCGCTCCGCGCGTCAGCCGAGGGGTGGTCCAGCGCCGATTCAAGAGTTTTGCGCGGACCTTCGAACGCTGATGTTTATGTCGTCGTCGTCGTTTTCGTCGTCGTCGTAGTCGTCGTCGTCGTCGTCGTCGTCATCGTCGTCGTCGTCGTCGTCTGTTGCTGTGGCCGCCCTTCGCGACGGCCCCCCTTCCGAGATCGAGCGCATACCCGATCACATCGCCAGCGTGCCGCTGAAGTCGAACCGTGGCATCGACAAGTAGCGGCGTGGGCAGCACCGTCGCTCTCTCCAGGACACGGGGGGAGGAGTCGCGAGCACGGGGCGGGGCCCAAGGGGCAGACGCGTGGCTTGGCTCATTCCAGTGTTCGGGGGAACTTCAATTTGCCCGCCTCACCTCGGCGCCTGCTTTTCCGTACGTACCCGTTTCGGGCGTCCAAATCACCGATCTTGGGTTAGGCCCAGTTTGGGCCCAGGATCGGTGTGCATGTTTTTTTTGTTTGTGTCGGTGTGCGTGTGTGTTTTTGTTTGTGAGTGTGTGAGTGTGTATGTGTGTGTGTGAATGAGTGTGTGTGTGTGTGAGTGTGTGCGTGTGTGCGTGTGTGTGTGTGTGTGCGTGTGTGTGTGCGTGTGTGTGTGTGTGTGTGTGTATGTGTGTGTGTTTCGGGCGCTCGCGCGCACGCGCGCGCGCGCCCGTTCTCGCCGGTTCTCGGTGTCCCGGGCCTCCTTCCCCCCTCCCCCTCCGCGACAGTCTGCGTCTACACTCTTCAACCTGCTCTGGTGCGCCCAGTGCCCTGCGCGACCCGCTGGCCCTGCAGTCGCGCTCGACTCCGCCTGCGTCGCGAGCATCATGTATGTGTCGTGTTGCCGTCTTGGCCACGCCAGGAGGTCCGATGCGCCTGTTCATGTGGGTCTGGCCAGGGTCGGGGCTGGTGCGTAGCCGGCGTCTTTCGAAGGCGCCAGGTCCAGGATGTGAGCGCACGTGCTCAAGTGCAGTCTGGAGGCGGCGGCGGCCTGTGTATGACGCGCGGAATTCTAAAATCCACCCTTGAGCGACGAAGAGAAACCGGGGCGCTTGCGCGGACCCTCGCGCGCAAGTTGCCCCCGCAAGGCCCCGCGTGAGCGCCCCTCGTTTCCATGCGGTTCGCCGCGCTCGCAGCCCGCGTGCGCCGCCGCGTAAGGTCGGCATGTTACCGTGCGTAGGGCCCTTTTCTCCTTCGTCGCGCACTTGGTCCCTGGCAGCCCGCGCAAGCCGCCGCGTATGGCATCGTGCGTGAGGCCCTTTCTCCTTCGTCGCACGCTTGGTCAGGGGCGGTCAGATAGCGCCGCAATGCTTGTACAACGCGGTGGACCCTGCCCGTGCCAAATGAATTGTGTCTCGCCAGAGCGCCCCGTACCCACTCAACGCCTACATATCTTCGGAAGGGCTTCGCGAGCTTCGCAGGGATCCCCCACTAGTTCCCCGACACGGGTTGACTCCTCAGAGGCCCTCTTAAGGACACTTGTGGACTCATGAGCCCTTGCCTGTCTTCGGCCGTTGGAGACACCCAGGCTAGAGGCATGACTTGGCATGACTTGGAGGGGGGCAAAGCTCCTTCGGCTAGAGAGGACGGGAAACCCACTTCAAAGATGCAGCAGAGCTCGATGTCAAGGTCAGGGGTGCTCTGAGCTGCTCATGCCAGCATTGACCACATGCCGAGCGATGAAACAACAACAATGGTCGACCACGCTGGCATTCGCGCGTTCGCGCGTAGCTGGCCGCGTATGGTCGCGCGTCAGCGCCCGTCTCCAAGCGGTGCGCAGCGCAAGCTGCTTGCGCAAGCCATTGCTTAAGGTCCCCCGTCCTCGTGCGTAGGACGCAATCTCCTCGTCGTCCCCTTACATCCGACGGTGCGCGTTTTTCCCCCAAGTAGAGAGCTCTGGTCGCGTGCTGCCTTCCTGCCTTTCTTTCTTTGTCTGTTTGTTTCTCTCTCTCTCTCTCTCGCTATCTCTGTATCTCTTTCTCTCGCTCTCTATAGTTATGTATCGGTGTACTGTCTCGCTCTCTCTCTCTCTCTCTGTCTCCTCTTGTCTCGTACCAATCTCGTACCTTTCTCCGAATTCGCCATCAATGGGGGGCTGCGATCTGCAAAACTGTCGCCACGTTCGAGTGCTGCTGGGGGGCCAGCACAGTTGCGCCATACCCAGATTCGGATTAGACATCGCCACCTCTGGGTGGCCGGGATCTGCGAAACCGTCGCTACTTTCGAGGGATGCTGGGGGGGGGGCCGCACAGTGGAGCCACACTCAGACTCGGTTTAGGCCGTGCCTATCCTGGGGGGCTGCGATCTGCGGAACCGTGGCCATTCTCGAGGGCTGCTGGGGAGGGGGCCAGCACAGTGGGGCCATACCCAGACTCATATTAGACCTCGCCACCCCTTGGGGGGCTGCGATTTGCGAAAACCGTCGCCACTTTCGAGGGCTGCTGGGGGTGGGGGGCCGCACAGTGGGGCCATACCCAGACTCCGATTAGACCCTGCCACCCCATGGGGGGCTGCAATCTTCGAAACCGTCGCCACGTTCGAGGGCGGCTGGAGGGTAGGGCAGCACAGCGGGGCCATACCCAGATTCAGATTAGACCTCGCCACCCCCTGGGGGAGCTGCGATCTGCGAAACCGTGGCCACGTTCGAGGGCTGCTGGGGGGCAGCACTGAGTCGCCAGCCGCGGACTTAGACCTCGCCACCCCTGGGGTGCTGCGATCTGCGAAACTGTCGCCACGTTCGAGGGCTGCTGGGAAGGGGGCACAGGGTCGCCGGACGAGGACTGAATTAGACCTCGCCACCCCTGGGGGGCTGCGATCTGCGACGCCGTCGCCACGTTCGAGGGATGTTGGGGGGGCCAGCACAGTAGGGGCATACCCAGGCTATGATAAGGCCTCGCCCACCCCGCCCCCCCCCCCCCTGGGGCGCTGCGATCTGCGATACCGTCACCACTTTCGAGGGCTAATGGGGGGAGAGGGGGGCAGCATAGCGGGGTTCCACCCAAATTCAGATTAGACCTCGTCGCCCTTGGGGGGCTACAATCTGCGAAACCGTTGCCAATTTCAAGGTCTTCTTTCGAGTCATACCCAGACTCCGACCTCGCCACCCCTGGGAGGCTGCGATCTGCGAATCTGTCGCCATGTTCGAGAGCTAGTGGTGGGAGAGGGGACAGCATAGGCGGGCTCTACCCAGATTCATAGAGCTCGTCGCCCTTGTGGGGCTGCGATCTGCGAAACTGTCGCCACATACCCAGATTCAGATTAGACCTCGCCATCCCTGGGGGGGGGGGCTGCAATCCGCGAAACTGTCTCCACGTCCGAGGGTTGCTCGGGGGGCCCCGCGCAGTGGGGGGCCCTTCGCAGATTCAGATTAGACCTGGGGCAAGCATAGTGAGCACCTGCCGCCGACCTAGACTAGATCTCGCCGTTCCCCTTGAGGGGCGGCCACCTTCGAGGGCTGCTGGGGGGGGGGCCAGCGTCCGGTCGGATCGTCGTCGCCGTCTCGTTTGCGTATCGTTTTTGTTTGCTGTTGCCCTATTGATGTTTTAAGCTCCCCCTCCGCCTCCCCATTTGTCCTTGCCTTTCTTTCCCTTCGACCCGGTGAACTGACTAATCACCCCCATCGAGCCCTTGTCCGACTAATCACCCCCATCGAGCCCTTGTCCATCGATCGTCCTGCGAGTCGCGCAGCTCGCGCACTCCCCCATAACTTTCGCGGAACATGTGCCTCCTTGCACCGTTCACATCCCCCTTATAAGTCTACCTGGCTGTTTTGGCCACGCCCTGCGCAGGGGCTGGGTGCATCGTCAGGGTGCTTTCAGGCGTGGACCTCCCTGTCTCTGGACCCCGTCCTCGGGCCCAGGTTCTCCTCCCGAGTCGCTTCTCTGCTGTGGGCCCCGTGGCTCGCACCAGGGAGGAGGAGGAGGAGGAGGAGGAGAAGGAGTATGATGAGGAGGAGGAGAAGGAGGAGGAGGAGGAGGAGGAGGAGGAGGAGGAGGAGAAGGAGGCCGGGAACCCGGCATTCCCAGGAGGAGGTCCCCCGAGGGCCTCCAGAGGCCCTCGGGCGCCCGTGGAGGGCCAGCGCCTTAAATGAAACTGCGGCCCTTGCTCCAGAGGATTCGGTCCTGGATGAGAGCCCGAGTTCCCAGCGCTCGCCAGGAAGGGCGAGGGAAGAGCGTCTCGGACCTCGGACCTCGGGGCTTTCCTCTGGGCCTCTGGGAACTGCGGCCCTTGCTCCAGATGATTCGGTCCTGGATGAGAGTCCGAGTTCCCAGCGCTCGCCAGGAAGGGAAGGGGGGTCCCGAGGGTCTCGGACCTCGGACCTCGGGGCTCTCCTCTGGGCCTCCCAGGATGGGGTTCGGAGCAGTTGGGGTCGGAGGATGGCGTGGCATCGCCGGTGCATCGGCGATGCGGCTCGATGTGGAGCCCGAGTTTCTGCACGCCGACGTCGCTGGTGCCTCGCCGGTGCTTCGCCGCGCGGTCTTCCGACCCCATCCACCCCGACCCCATCTGGGTGGCTTCCACTGCGCCAGGGCCAGTCGTCATCCGGGGCCTGTGGAGGCCGCAAGGGTCCCAGAGAGGACCCGTGCTCCTCCGTCGGTACGACCGACAGGAGTGCGAACAGAAGGGGCACGAAGACTGACAGCAGTTCCTGCCCATTTTGAGCACTGTTCGTTGTCCGTGCCGCCACGGGCGCCGTCCGTGCGAGACAGAAGGCCGCCTGCCCCAAAGCACGGTTCTGGACAGCGTTTGCTGCTGGGCATCGTGCACGCTTTTCCGCTCCCGTTCCGGGCGTCCGAGCTCCAGAAAGTCCCCGCTTCTTCCAGGGCCCGCTTCCTTCCCGCTGGACCGCGGGCTCAGTTCGCTCACTTCGCCTGAAGTCCGCCCTCGCGCACGCACACCTCGGCCCTCTCCTCGCTCGAGAGGCCCGCGCGGGCTGCGCCGCGAGCAGGCCTCCCCGCCCCTGTCGGCCAGGCTCTGCCGCAGGGGGACGCCGCGCGCGCGCCCCTCGGCCACGCGTCTGCGACGGCCTGCGCGCCTCAGGACGGCGGCGGGGCGCTCACTCCGGCCAGCCACAACTGGGGGAGCTGTGGTCCTTTTACCCCCCTGGGGGACCCATCGACTTCGACACCCCTCTCGAGAGATCGTCGATGCGATGGGTTCCCCCCGGGGGGGTAAGGACCACAGCTCCCCCAGTTGTGGCGGGTCGGTCACTGCAGGCAACAGGCAAGCCCAGCGAGCTCGGGCCCCGCCCCCTCCGCCCGGACCTCGGGCGCACCCGCCGCGGCCCGCAGGCCTGCCGCTGCGGTGCGCCGCTGGACGGGGCCGCCTGGAGCGCAGGCCCGGGCCCCGCGGCGGCGCCCGCCGCGGCCGCGGCGCGAAAGCCGCCGCCGCCGGCGGGGGGCGCCTGCCCCGTGCGTGCCCTGGGCGACGAGGGGGCTTCGCCGTGGCCGACGCCGACCCTCTTCGCAGGCAGTGTCTCGCCCCCCAGTCGTCAGGGTTGGAGCCGGAGGGGGGTCTCGACGTGGCCCCGCAGTGGTTCCGGCCCGCAGGAGGGGGGGGGGTCGGTGGGGTTTTGTACCTTTTTCCGCCTTCCGGGGGCCGTTTTCGGGCCCCGGGACCGCGAAACATTGATGAGGGGCAGGGGTGAAAATTGGACCAGATGGAGCCTGGGGGGGTTGGGCTTATTTTGAGCCGATTTGGCGTCATCCCCCCTCCTGACCGCATCGTCGCAGGCGGGTTGCCTCCCAGATGGGGTCCGAATGAGAGGGGTCGTAGGATTGCACTGCATCGCCGATGCATCGGCGATGCGGCTCCACGTGGAACCCGAATTCCTCCACGCCGACGTCGCCGATACACCGCCGACAGCGCCGATGCGTCGCCAGTTCATCGGCGATGCATTGGCGATGCGGCACGGCATTCTGAGCCATATGAATTTGTGATAACAGATGATACCCCCCCTCCTCCGAGGCTGATGAACAGGTCCCGCGGGGCGCAAAACAATTGTTCCCCAACTGAACTTGCCGAAGGGTTTTTTTCTTAGTGGAAAGTTGGTGCCTCGGGTGCTTAGGTTGCCCGTTCCCCGGTGGTTCCTCGGGTTCCCTGGGTTCCCAGCCCCCAGTGCCTCCGATTCTTACGTTGCCCGTTGCCTGGAGGTTCCCCTGGTTTCCCGGGTGCCAAGCAGTGCCAAGCAATGCCAAGCACTGCGCCCATGCAGTAGGAAATAGGAAGTTTTCCCTCAATTGGGGTTGCGCCGGGTTCACTTTAATCACGCGTGCCAAAGGGTCATCGCGGGCGCCGCCGAGGGGTCGTAGAACCCCCTGCGCGGCAGCCTAAAAACGATTGCCTTTCGCATCGAAGGGGGTCGTGTACAAACGAGGCGAAGCTTTCCCATCAGGCGGATTACTGACCCGCCATGGTCGTCGTCGTCATCCTCGTCCTCGTCCTTGTCTTTGTTCTCGTCTTCGTCCTCGTCCGCGCCCTCGTCGTCGACTACGGCGGGCCCACGCAGCCCCCCCCCATTGCAGCATCCGCAGCTCGTCGTCGTCGTTCTCGCCGTCGCCGCGCCGTCGTCGTCGTCGTCGTCGTCGTCGTCGTCGTGGTAGGACATGTTGGAGTGGAAAAGGGGGTAATTAGGGGGAAGGGGTGGACAAGGAGAACGCCCGCCTCTGCTGCCCCTCCTCCCCCCTCTTGCTTTCCTTGTCTGTAGCCACGTCGGCACCGCCCACCAGCTGTGAGGAGGAGGAGGAGGAGGAGGAGGAGGAGAAGGAGGAGGGTGGGGGAGGAGGAGGAGGAGGCGCCAATGGGGCGCAGCAACAAAAAAAAAACGCCCCGCTATGGCAGAGGCGCTGCTGCCTCTCCCCGCTATGTAGCGTCGTCAGTTGCCTCGCGCCCGTCGCCCTCTCGCTGGCGGCCGGGCGTCTGCGCCCATCGCTGGCGCCGCCGCCGCCGTGCTTCCATGTTCTGCACGCACGGGATGGGCACGGAAAGAATGGGTACAATGCCCAACAGCAGTTCTTGTTCATTCTGAACAGGGCTCGCTGTCCGCGCCGCCGCGGCCTGTGTCCATTCGAGACAGGAGGCCGCCCGCCCAACAGCGGCCGCTGTTGGTTTGGGACAACATTTGTTGTTGGGCATGGTGCCCATTCTTTCGGTACCCATTTCGGGTGTCCAAACCTGCGGGGGGCGTCTTGCCACGATTCGCTCGAGCAAGGGAACGTTTGTTTTAATCATGCGCCTGGCTCGCTTCGGTTTGTCACCCGCTGACGCTGCTCGGACCCCGTGCAGGAGGCTTGTGCCCTCGCGGGCGACGCTTCGCCCTTAGTGGTTCGGGCGGGCTGTCTTCGCAAGCCACACGGGCCGTCCCCACCCCCTGGGATGCAACAGTGCGCTACGTCGCTCGGGCAGCCCATCGCCACCTTTGACCAGCTTACTTCGCAGTGTGGCAATCCATATGTGGGAGCATGGTGAACAGTTCTCACGCCCAGACGCATGCAGCTTCGGCGCCACAGCCCACAGGCCCTTCCCGCCGAAAATGCAGGCCCCTCGGGCGAGAAGGTGGGCCCCCCCCCCTCCTCGTATAGCCCCGACGCGAGGTTCAAGTGTTCTGGCCCGTGGAAAAGCTTTACGACATGAGGGGGTCGAGTGGCCATGCCTCTTGCCACTTTTCTTGCACGGGACGCCACATGGACAGTTCGCCCAGGCGCCAGGCCTGTAGCTCGGGTGGAGCCGTCGGCCCCTTCGGGCGTGTGCCGCATCGAAGCATGCTGCGGATGGGGAGAGGGTCCGAGCACACGAAAGAGCTGTAGGACCCCGCAAGGTCCCCAAGGATGCGGATTCCGATATGTCTTCACAATGCCGCCGTAGTCGTGAGGAGTCCGAAAGACCACATCGGGCTCCGAAGGATTCTTGAGGATCCTTCATGACACCGCCGGATGCTGGAAGATTCCGAAGGATTCCAGACAAGGTCGTCGCGGAGGCTAGCCGTATCAATCAGCTGTTTTTGACAGACCGGCCCAGCCTTTACTAGATTCAACGAGTCTCCCCCCCAGCGCGGCACGAGATATTTGTTTTATCCAGCTGCATTCGAGTTCAACGCATTTGCGCCCGAGTCGTTTGCGGAAGTCGCCACCTGCCATTGTGCCAGTTATACGTGTGGATTTCTGAACAGGCAGCGCTATGAATTTCAAGCAAATGTGGTCTTGCCATGCCGAACGAAAAATGCAACACACGGTTGCACATAAACATCGTGTTCAAGGAATTGTTGTGGGTGATCGTATGCTGATTAATTTTCGGTGTTGTTGGACGACTTGGGAAAACCCCGGGTACGCTCCGAAACGAGCCAACCAGGGCATCCTTTGTTCTGGAAGCGAAGCTTGAATTTTTCTCGGTCATGGCACGGTTCCTGGCTTTTGATAAATGATGTGTTTGTTCCCCAAGTAGGCTTGCCTAATATGCGTTTACTTGGTTACAGGTTGGTGCCTCGGGGCTTACTTTGCTTGTTCCCCAGAGGTTCCTCGGGTTCCCCAGGTTCCCCACCCCCGGTTCCCCGGGTTCCCCAGGTTCCCCGCGGGTTCCCCGGGTTCCCAGTTCCATGGGTTCCCCGGGTTCCCCGCCCTTGGTGGTTCGTATTCTTATTGTGCCCGTGCCAAGCAATACCAAGCAATGCCAAGCGCCAAACATTGCCAAGCAGTGCCAAGAAATGCCAAGCAATGTCAAGCTCTACGCCCATGCAATAGGAAGTTTTCCCCTGATTGGGGTCGTGCCCAGTTGACTTAGTGGAACGCCAAGCTACCCGCAAGGCGGGGGACAAGGGACCAGATGTCAAGACTTTACTAGGATGTGTAGACGTGTAGGGTACACGCGGTACACGTTTGAACTTGCACATGAGTTTCACGTGGAAGGCCCAATTCACGTCCCCGAAGTCAGCCGAAAGTTGATTATCAAGATGAGGCAGAATCCTCCTCCCAGACACTCGTGTGTCCCGTTTCCCCAATATTAGGCTTGCCTAAGGGGTTCTAATTTGGTTCAAAGGTTGGTGCCTCCTATTGTTACTTTGCCTATTGCCCAGGGATCCCCAGGTTCCCCGGGTTCACCGCCCCCAGAGCCTCCTATTGTTACGTTGCCCGTTCCATGCGGGTTCCCCGGGTTCCCCGCCCCCAGTGCCTCTCATCTTTGCAATGCCAAGGAATGCAATGCCAAGCAATGCTCAGCAATAACAAGCAATGTCAAGCAATGCCAAGCAATTCTCAGCAATGCCAAGCAATGCTCAACAATGCCAAGCAATGACAAGCAATGCAATGCCAAGCAATGCCAAGCAATGACAAGCAATGCTCAGCAATGCCAAGCAATGCCAAGCAATGCTCAGCACAGACTCGGGAAAATCGAGGCGGCCAATTGTTCGCCATTGCCCTCTTGGGGCGTTGTTTGGTTCTCCAGGGGCCATCTTGGGCCGTCTTGGGGCCCTGTTGGGGGCCTCCTGGGCGGTCCTGGGGTGATTGATGGGGCTCCAAGGGCCGTTGTGGACGCTGAGAATGAAGGCCGAAAAAGCGAATATGCTAAACATGAACGGTTTCCCAAGGGATTGGATTGCGAAGGCCTTACGGCCGGTGCCGCCGACCCTGGAGGGCGACCCATACCATCTGGGCAATCTCTTGGAGCCGTCTTGGGGGTCTGTTGGGCGCGGCTCGGGCGTGGCTCGGGCGCGGCTCGGGCGCGGTCCGAGCGCGGCTCGGGCGCGGCTCGGGCGCGGCTCGGCGGGGCTCGGGCGGCTCGGGCGCGGCCCCGAAACAATAAAGAATCCCTACGTGCAGTACTTGCGAGGGGGGCGTCGTATCTGAGTGGCGCCCCCCCCCCGGGACCCCCCCCGGGACCCCCCCGCTACCCCCCCCCCCCCTCCCGGCGGGGGAGGGATCAAAGGGAAGGGGCTTCCCTTCGACTCAAATACGACGTTGCTGAAGTTCATTTGGGCTGGCGCGCTTGAGCAGGGGCCCCTGCTGGGAAAGAGGACGGGAGTGGCGACGGGCCCACGGAAAGGGAGGCGCAAGGAAGGGGGACGACAGAGACGACGACCAACGAACAACGGGGATGACGTCTCGAACGGAAAAGCCCCTCACACACGCCGACAGGGTCGGCGGATTCTCTTGGGGGTGATCTTGGGGCTACTTTGAAGCTTCTTGGGCCTCTTTGGCCGTCTTGGGGCCACCTTGGGCGTCTGGGAGCGACTTCCCGTCCCCTGGACTGTAAGTCCTGTTTCGGAGCCCTCCTGGGTGGGGTTGCCGTGCCGGAGGCCCACGCAGAACACCCCGGGAGCGCACAGAAACGCCTTGGAAACAGGGAGTCCAGGCCTTGAAGAGCTCTAGAAACATTTTACCCTCCAGGGCTGCACGAGCCTTTTGGCACCCACTGCGTGCGGAAGGCACGGTGGCGGACTGTTGAGGAACAAGCAAGGCACGTAGCAGCCACGCCGCTCCAAACTTTCGAGAACCAGGCATCGAACTCAGCAGGCGTAAACGTTCGGAGGTCCGCGTGGGCCTCCTGGGTATCGCGGACCTCCTTGGGTTGGCGGAGGTCCGCACGGGCCTCTTGGGGTTGGCGGAGGTTCGCGCAGATCTCCTTGGCGTCGCTTCCACCGCAGTCCCCGGCGTGCTGCCGGCCCAAGAAATCCGCGCGGGCCTTCGAGCATGTCTGCCTGCTCCGTTCTCGGGCTGCCGGTCGCGGGGATCCACCGCCGCACAGGCACTGCGGCGCACCGCAGGCGTCGCGTGCCGCTGCAGCCTTTGCTGCCTCGGCTCGTCCTCGGCCGTTGCGCGCTTCGCCCACGCACCCTCCGGGGCGCCCGGTGGTCTTGTAGTCTTGCCCGGTGGCCTCGCCACGTACGGCGGCCGTAGCCCCGAATGCTGCGAAGGAGGTTCACGTGTGAGGCGCTCGCGCTGTCTCTCCACATGCTGGGCCGATAGGCTCACCGCGTCGTGGGCAATCGCGGCTTGCCATTCCCGAAAGGTGCTGTTCGTATGCCGTGCCCAGTTCGCCATGGCCAGAAAGTGTTGTACTGCAGAGCCAAATTCGAGGCACCTTCCATCGAGTTCAAGTTGAGGTGCACGCAATGCGCAGGTCGTCCGTGTACGACACCGTCCGCGAACGATGGTGTGTTATTTGGTGCATCGCGCGTCATGCGCCAGTTATGTATGGTGTAACGTTTGCGCTTCTTGTGTGATCTGTGTGTATGCGGCTGCGTGTGCGTATGCGTGTGCGTGGGTGTTTGTTCGTGTGTTCGTGCGTGCGGGCGTGCGTGTGTGTTCCGATGTCTATCCTTTTCTTTGCCCGGCGTCCTGAGTCGAAGGGCACATGCCGGCGCTCTGCAAGGCTGGCGCTCGGCCCCTCGGCGTCGCCACGGCACGCGGCGTCGCCCGTCGTGCTGCCTGTCCCGCCGCCTTCCTGACTCTGTCTTGCGAGGCCTCTGCTGATGCCCTTGGCGTGTAGCGAGCGTCCCCCAAGGTTCGAGGTGCTGGCTAGACGTCTTGCCTCGAACGGGTCGACGCGTTCGCCCCGCGCTCCCCTCCGCCTGGTTCTGCCAACCGGATGTGCTGCAGCTCGGCGCTGCTGGAGCCCAGCATGCTCAACCGGACGTCTTTTGCGAACGTCTTTGGGGGGAAACCTTGTGTGTGTGTGTGTGTGTGTGTGTTTGCGTGACGCGTCGCGTGTACCCGATGAAACAGTAATGTGGGTGGCCTTGCGGTCAGACGCGCTTGGTATCTATGTTCATGTATTCTATGTTGTTGCTGTGTATGTGTACACAGGTATCACTCTCATACATACATACACATACATACTAGGCTTTATTGAAAGATGCCCCTGGTGAGCAGCGCAGGGTATCGGAACTAAATTGTTAGTGGGTGCCAATCATAAGTTGTTTGGCACTGGGCTTGTGCAGTACATGCTCCATCGCGCTGACAGCTACCCCCTCTGAGGGGTCGGATCGGTCAGGCGAAACCGCACTCTGGAGAGAAAGGTCGGCACCCGTGCATGCGCTCTTTGTTCAGCTCTCGCGCAAGTGCTCCGATCCCCTCGCAGCGCCCACAGCGAATGGAGCAGCCCAGAGCTGGTTTGCTTTTATCTGTCTAGACCAACGCTTTGCTTCCATTCAAGCTTACAGTGGTTGTCTGCATCCAGTGCTTTCGAAGTCCCCCTACAATGTTTGAGTACGCAGGCCTGTTTCGATTCGCCGTTGCCACCGCGACGTCTTCTCATTCCGACGCCTCCTTGTGAGACGTTGTGTTGGTCCTGCCCCTTCTTGCCACTTCTGCGGGCAATGTTTATATCCATATCCAGGGCGTCTTGGACTTTCGTGGAAGGGGCGCCGCAAGGCCGAGGCGCACTGGATATGGGTAAGATTCGAGCCTCTAGTAGGGGCCTGATTTTTATCCATAACCAGTGCTCCTCGGTTTTCTGGGGAAGGGAGCCCGAACCCCCAAGCTGCAGTGGATCTGGACAAGAGTTTTGCCCGCAACTTCTCCGGACCCCTCCGCCCGAGCTCCCTCTGCCCGACCCTTCCCCGTGCCGTCGCGTGCCCCTCCCCTCCCCTCCCTCCTGCCCGCCTCGCCGTCGCGCACGGGACGTGCGAGCCCCGCCGCGCTCCCGCGCTCCTCGCGGCATAGAGGCGGGAGGGGGGGGCCCCGGCGTCGGGGCGCGCTCCCTGCGCCCGCTTGCCTCCCGGCGTGCCCGGCCCCCGGCTCCCGAGGCTTCCTGCCTCCGCAGGCGCGCGGGCGCCTTCTCCCCGAGATCCCCTCCGGGTGCGCTGACGCCTCCGCGCAGAGGGCTCCCGCTCGCCCTCCTCCCCCCTGCCCCCCCCTCCCCCTTCCTCGGCCTCCCCGCCCCTCCCCCCGCGCCTCCCCCTGCCCCTTTTCCTGCCCCCTGCCCCCCCCCCCCTTCCCCTCCCCCCGCCCCCCCCCCCCTCCCCGCCACACCTTGTTCTCCGCACCCTCCTCCCCTCCCCCCCCCCCTCGGCATCGCTCGAGGCTCAGCCTTGCTTTTTGCGAGCGATGCGGGCCCGGGGAGGGCGGCGGCCACGCCGCACGACCAGGCAGCAGGTGGGTGGCTTCTTGCAGTGCAGAATCTGGTCGGTGGCTTCTCGCGGGGCCCGTGCTCCTGAGGAGTATCACGGCATGGGTGGCGGCTGGTGCTGGCCCCGTTTGGATCTTGCTCGGGGAAGTCGGCCACCACCCACCAAACCACCCCAACCCAACCCGAAGGCTTCACTTTTGCCCTCCATTTCCAGTGGGAGGGGAGGGGTCGGGGAACACTCAGGAAACACGTATGGAATCCGTACGCCCCCCCAAGCCCGAAATTCGGGTCTTCGGGTCGGGTTGGGGTGGCCTGGTAGGTAGTCCGTCGAAGTTGGACCCCGAGCTTCTGCCTGTGAGATACCATCGCTGCATCGCTCCGGAGTGTCCTGCCCCCGCCGCGTATGACTGTGTCCAGGAGGGGAAAAAGCACACACAGACACAACGAATCGTCGATTCCCCAGAAAACATGGGAAACTGTGGGAAGTGGGGGGGGGGAAGACGAAAGCCCAGGAGGTATGGGAGCGCATGGGGGAATCGTATGATCTGTGCCTGCTTGTTTGGGTGTTCCAGGGCCCCTCCGTGTGCGCCTGCGCTGCGGGGCCTGCACGGCGGCACCCGCGCCGCCCAAACCGCCTCGGCCCGTGCAGCGGGGCCCTCCCGAGGCCAAGGGGGCCCAGCGCCCGCGGCCCAGCGCCCGCGGCTTTCCCCCTCCCCCTCCCTTTCCCCCCCCCCCCTCCCCCGCGCGCCGCTGTCGTGCCGTCTTTCGTCGTCGGTTTTTGTTTCTCTCCTGCCACAGGGCTCCTCTTGCGCTGGTGAAAGGTGAAGGTGTGCGCCGCTGTCGTGCCGTCTTTCGTCGTCGGTTTTTGTTCCTCTCCTGCCACAGGGCTCCTCTTGCGCTGGGTATAAAACAGGTGGACAGGCCTCCTGCCCTGACGCGTCGGTTTATGATGCTCCAACCTATTCTAGCCTTGGGCACCATAGAGAATGTCGAGCGCCAGAAAAGGTGCACAAACTCACTGGTTTTCACGTGCCGGGCCCTGGGAAACACTCGCCCGACACTGTTTGGACACTCTTTTGGCACTTTTACGGGTGCTCGAAATTATTTCTGGGATGTGGTCCTTAAGTAGGATGGGAACAACATAAGTGTCGATTAAGGAATTGGCTGTTTTCGGTTCGCGAGAGGGCGTCGCGGCCGTCATTTTTGCCGGCCCAGGTCCGTCGACTTCGGCCATGGGTCGTTTTCACTAAGGGGAGGCTTACGCAAGGGAGGTTTGTCCGCCGCCGAATGCAGTGGTGTGCACCCAAAGTGTGACAGCATCACGGTGGAAAGAGGACCTTGGTCGGAGTTATAGGCCGAACGAGGAAGTGGCCGCTTTCCCTCGTGCCTTCCGGTTGTTCTGGGGTGAAGTGGCCTGTCACGGGCAGTAGAGCCTTGGCATCGCTCAAACGTGTGTTTATTTTTTGGGGGGGGCGAGGGCATCGCCAGGAAATCAGAACCATCGAGGACCATCTTGGACCATCTTCCGAACCAAAGGAGACGAAACCGACACATGCACGGGGAATGGGCGTCCGAGCGATGGCAAGCCGCCCCTCCTTTGCCGCCTCCGCCCCCTGTCCCCCTTCTCCCCCCCTTGTCCTCCTCCTCCTCCTCCTCCTCCTCCTCCTCCTCCTCCGCCCAGCCTGCTGGCCCAGGCTGACTGGGCGCAACGCTTTGGGCGCCCCTGGGGCCCTTCCCCTCCTCTCCCTTTCTCCTGACTGCCATGGTGGTCGCGGAGCGGCTTGCGTTGCTTCGGTCCCGCATCCTGGCGGGCCATGCCGGACAATTCGGCGTGGTCGGTCAGGATATTGGGAAAATGCGCCTCCTGGTGGTCACGGTGCAGGCGGCTCCAGATGTCGTGCCAGACTTTTTCGGCGTCTTCTTCTCCGCAAATTTGAGGGTGGTGCTGATGCTGCACGGGTGCGGGTCACGGTGTAGCGGGGCCACGCGTTCAGCAGTGGCGTTGTGAAGGCTACCTCTGGAGCTCCCCGCGGTTGGGCCCCATTGGCGCACGGTGGTCGCGACGTTGGTGCAGGCGACGATGGTGATGACGAAGATTCAGAAGCCGGGCAAAGGCTGGCAAACCCGTGGCTGCTAAAACGGAGATCCGGGAAAATGATTGTTTTTCTGGGAAGCAGCCCCTTTACTATTCAGTCAGTTGAGCTCTATTCCGGGAATCTGTTTGTCGTTCCGGGAAGACCGTTTGAGCAGTCACGGATTTGCCAGCCATCGCCCAGCTTCCTAAAGTCGGGCCGGACGAAAGGGGGGGATTGGGAAAGGGGGGTTTACGAAATTTGCTGCATGCAGCTGGTTTCGGCCCCACCGGGGGGCCCATTCCTCGATACATGGGCGCCTCCCGGCGCCAGGAGGCGCCAGGAAAATTAGCTACGTGAGCTGATTATCAAACCCCCCCTTTGCTATCCCCCCCTTTCGCCCGGCCCGATGAAGATGGCGGCGGCACCGAGAGGATGCGCTTGAGACGTTCGCGTTCCTGGGCCTCCTCGCCCTCGCGGCGCCGGCCCTGGGCATTCTGGGAACGGGCGGCCCGAGGCCCGCGGGGCCACTTCCAAAGGAACCTAAGACTTAAGTCGGGCCTGTCCCTCTACAGGGGGTAAATTCCAAAATAGTCAAAAAATAATCAGGGGTGCAGGGTTTCACAGGTTTCTTTCGAGCTGAGATTACTGTTGCCGAAACCGTTTGGCTCAAGAAAAGGAATCCATCCGCCATTCCGCATGGTAGCGGAGCCTGGTCGAATGCCCACGGCCAGGCTCCCAGTTTATCGTTTCTCGCGAAGAGATGGCAACAGCAGAGGAGGTTCTGAATAGGATCGTGGCCATGGAGGGCGTCGTAGTTCAGCAGAGAGATCAGATAGCGAGGTTGGAACAACATCTTCGAGATGCGAATCAGCGAGCAGCAGCAGCAGAAGGAGCAGCAGACGACCGACCATATCAACCGATAGCGGAGTCACGAGTCGACACGAAGCTGCTCGGCAAGACAGATAAGTTCTCGGGTGAGCTCGATGAGAATGCGAAGTACAAGGGCGGTGTCACGTGGGATAACTGGAGTTTCGTCCTAGCGGCCTTCTGCATGGCGGTGGATCCTCATATGGCGGAGTTGATGAGGGACGCTGCGAAGGTCGACGCTGAGGCTAGACGAAGAGGCCCAGCGAGTCAACACCAACCTGTACTATATCCTTGTACTGACGTGTAAGGACAAGGCTCAGGGCATCGTGAAGAGCGTTCCCTCAGGAGACGGCCTAGAGGCCTGGCGACTACTGTGTCTGGAGTTCGAGCCGAAGGTGCCGTCGAGGTTCTCAGGTATGTTAGACTCGATACTGTATCCGAATGTGCAGGATAACGATCCGATCAAAGGCATCTGGGAGACGTTGGTTCAGAAATATGAAGAGCAGACAGGAGAGAAGGTCATGGAGTCGATCAAGAAGTCTGTTCTCAGTACGCGATTGGTGCCGTCAAAGCTTCGAGAACATCTCATGCTGAATGCTACGAGGTTCACGACATACGCGTTGGTACGAGCTGAGGTGTTGAACTTCTTGAGGTCGAAGCAGGCGGCGATGGCACTAAGTGGACCTGCGCCTATGGATCTGGATGCAATCGCATTCGGCAAGTTCGGCAAGGACTCGAAAGGCAGGCACGGCAAAGACAAGACCAAGGGCAAGGGCTACGACCAGAGCGCGACGCAGTCTTGCAAGTACTGCGGCAAGAAAGGTCACAAGCTCATGGAGTGCAGGAAGGCCACACAGGACATGAAGGACGGAAAGATTACGAAGGATGACTTGAAAAATATCAGCAAGGGCAAGGGCAAGGGTAAGGACAATAGCGACAAGACGAAGAGCACACCTGCGCCCGACAAGCCCAAGGATCAAGACATGAAGTACTTAGGGTACGATTACGACGCCGAGGAGGGCTACATCTTCATGCTGAATGAGAACGAGACTGAGGAGCTAGATCACATTTCGAGTGCAGACCACACGGAGGTAGACGGATACATTGTGAATCTAGATAGCAAGAAGGAGCCCAATCACAATTTCAACGAGAATGACGAGAGCGACCTGATTCCAATAGAGTTCGAGAA